ACCCTATGGAGCAGTTCTACTCTGTAATACATGGAGTCACCATGAGTCAGGGGTCCACTTAACAGCAGCTAACAACAACGACACCCATGTTGCAGGCACTGAGCTAGAAGCTGCGGCACAAAGGGGAACAAAATTAGAGACAGTTATGCTCTTGGGAAGTTACAGTGCTAGTGGGAAAGAGAAGCATTAATCAAATACACAAGCAAAATGATTATTAAGTGGCAAGCACCAGGAAGGAGGGGTGCAGGTGCTGTGAGAGTAAAATGCTACACAGTGGGGAGGTCAGGGAGGCTTCTCTGAGGATGTGGCTGAACAGCTGTGATCTGAAGGCCGAGTAGGGGCTAATTCGGGGAGGGGAGAAAAGAGCATTCCAGACAGAGGGACCAGTCCATGTAAAGGCCTTGTGATAACAGAGAACCCTGACAAAGGATGGAAAGAAGGCCCATGTGGTTGGGGCTGCAAAAATGAGGGGTACTAGGGAGTAAAATGAGGCTGGAAAGGTGAGTACAGCAAGGCCATTAAAAGTTTTAAGCAGGAGTGTTAGGCTCAAATTTACGTTTTGAAAAACTCACTCTGGCTGCTGTATGGAGAATGGAATGTTAAAAAGGCTTGAAAGGAACTGTCAACTGCCTGGAGTATCCATTTAGAGACTACTGATTGATACAATTATTCAGGGATGTGTGTTTTAACATAATTTTTAAATATGAAATGAATGTGTACACACACAGAGATACATGGTTAAAAATACCAAATAGTACTAATACTATTATTGTTGTTGTTATGTGCCATTGAGTCAGTTCCGACTCATACTAATACTACTAAAAAAAACCTCATTGCTGTCAAGTCGATTCCGACTCATAGTGACACTATTAGGCTTATAAAAAATAGCAATCACCTTGACCATCCCTTCCCACACCACTTACACCTTCCACTAAGGACCCCTTCTTCTACTCTTCACTGTTATCTGGTATTTACTTCCTTTTTTTCCTTATATAATATGCTTAAAGTGCTATTTCTTTATTTTTCAGCTTTAGGCATTAACAGTTTACTTCCTACTATGGAAGAAAAAATTTACTGATCTTACCCCACATCCTACTCCCCTCTCCACACTCTATTCGTATCCTGCCAAGAGCGAACATTCAAAGCATCACCAGCACTTCTTGATTTTTCTCGTATAGGAAAAATGCTCTGACTCATTTATTATCTGAAAAATCCATCAATCAGTAAAGACAGAATCAGTACATTTCACTATAAATTTATAGCTTTGTGAGGACAAAAGTAGCTTCACTACCTCTGCCATGGACATATTTAAAGCAGCAAGGATTTTTACCCCTTTAAGCAAAAACGAGGAGCCCTGTGGCACAGTGGTTAAGTGCTCGCAGGAGTTCAAACCCACCAGCCTCTTTGCAGAAGAAATATGTGGCAGTCTGTTCTTCTATAAAGATTTCAGTCTTGGAAACCCTATGGGGCAGTTCTACTCTGTCCTATAGGGTCACTATGAGTTGGAATCGACTCAACGGCAATGAGTTTGGTTTTTGGTTTTGGGAGCAAAAACTGCGAATTTTTTAAGCTGGCATAAGAATATTCAAGGAAACCACAGTTGAATTATGTGTTACTTAGAAGGCATAATAACGTCATTTGCACTGTTGTTGATGTTAGGTGATGCTGAGTCGACTTTGACTCACAGCGATCCCATGTGACACAGTAGAACGGCTCCATAGGATTTCATAGGCTGTAGTCTTTATGGGAGCAGATCACCAGGTTTTTCTCCTGTGGAGCCTCTGAGTGAGTTTGAACTTCCAGTCTTTTGGTTAGCAGCCAAGTGCTTAACCACTGCACCACCAGGGCTCCTTTCATTTGTAGTAGGAGGCAAAAATAATCTTTAAAGGACTAGTATCTTAGAAAAGAAGTTTCAGAAAGGTCATTAATTGATGCTAATATTATCAGTGGTGTAGTAAAGCAGGCCTCTCACATGCTTGCTGCTATGAGTATGAGTCGGGAAATAAGTGTGTGAATCCTACCCAGAGTCTAAAGAAATAAATCATACATTTGACTCTAACAGAAATCAGTCCCAAGGAAATACTCAGAGGTAACAAAGATTCAAGCACAAGAATATTCATGACAGTATTATTACAATAATGGAAAACAAGGTCAATGCTCCAAAAGCAGGAAAATGGTTGAATTATTATTACATCTATAAAATGGAATAATATAAAATCATTAAATTCACGTTTTCAAAGAACATTTAATGCTGTGGGAAAATGCTCATGATATGTTAAATGAGGAAAAGCTGAGGTGGTCAATAGACATGTAAAAACATGCATGTAACATATACATATGTAAACATATTATATATATGTAAACATACATAAAATATACACACCCCAAGTTTTTTAAGTGTATAGAAAAAAGAATTTTTTCTTCCTCTAGTGTTGTCTGCCACCCATATAGACTTCAGAATCAACTGGGGAGCTTGTTAAAAATACAGATTCTTGGGTACCACTCCAGACCTGCCTAATTAGTCTCTCTGTAAGCAAAGTCCAAGGGTCTCCATCTACCTACTCACTCTGAGTAATACTGACTCACACCTCAGTTGAGGACTACTGGACCAGAAGTAGTAGCTCTCTCTGTATGGTGGAATTATGACTAATTCTCTCCCTTTTTTTGAACCTTAAAAAAAAAATTGTTTACCGAACATACGCTGCTTTTATGATTAAAAGTTCATTAAAAGCTCATGAATATTAGAAAACAGAGCTGACTTAGGGTGTAGTTTGGAATCGACTTGACAGCAATGGATGATGATGAAACACCTTTAAGAAGTGGGCAGTGCTATTTTTCATCTACAACAAACAGGTTGTAGAATCTACGAATTTCTGACATGTGAAAGTCACTTTAGGACAGAGAAAGTACTATGCTAAGTGTAGATATGGAATTCTTACCTCCATAAATTGTGCAGGTAAAAAATACAATAATTTTGAAAAGTATTAAGGACCAGCACTTCTCGTGTTCTAAGATGTTCCTTGGCAAAAAGAGGGTTCAGTGATCAAATAAGTTAGGGGCCTGATATGCACAGTATAATCCCCTCCTAGAGTCATAGAGCCCATGAGCAGATCACAGGCTCTGAGATGTCCACTCTAAGCTTCATTCTCAATTCTAGCTCCACAAATTCTTAGAATGATCTGATCATTAAGAACACATTCTAGGCCAGAAGAGGGTCCTAGAAAGAATTCTCACCATGGACTGATGCCCTACGTCCAATCCAACCTATCAATTCGTTCTCATGGTCTCTGAGGGCTTAGCCCACATATTAATATATGCACAGCCTGATTCTAAGGGTGCAGAACAAGTCAGTTACCAAGTAATGCTCAGGAGCAACAAAACTTAGTGCCAGGCTACAAGATTAGGAAAACATTTGAAATAACTGTGTATTTATTTTATTTACCTATTTGTCCCTAGCATTAGACTGTGTCCTCGGGGCTAGAATTTTGTCTTACATTCATTTATGTATTACCAACACAATAAAGCATGACACTTAGTTGGTACTCAATGAGTGGTGCACTGCCAGTAAGGTGATTAAAAATTTTTTGACAAGTAATGAAATGAGGTAGGCAGAGAAGTATGTCCTAAAGTTTGCACACTAATTGTATCAAGACTTCATTTAATTCAATTAACATTTCTGAGTGCTTACTAGGTGGTCATTTCCAAGAATGTATTGGTGACCAAGACACAATCTCTATGCTCAAACACTCCATGCAGTAGAGATATTAGTCATCGTAATAGAGATATTAGCCATTCTCTCATATACAGGCTTGGACCATAGCAGGTATCTAATAAACGCTTGTTTGAATTGAGTTTGGAAACCAAGATGCACTTTAAGTTTGGTCAAATTTTAGTACTTTGGGGGCTGAGAGTTTACAGTAGGATAGAATCAGACCATTCTAGAGGCTGCTTCAGGATGATTGAGATCTGGGGTAACCAGATCAATCCTGACTGATCATCACTACTTTGGAGACTCCAGAACCAGTCAGGAATTTTGACCAGAGAAGTTCCAGAACCCAAAGGAATTCGACACCATCAAAATGTTTCTAAATATGTGTACTGTAAAATCTCTAGGTTCTTGAGATGTTAATAGATATTACATGGTGCATTAGGACTGAGAAAAGAGCTCAACAGAGTTGACATGCCTCTGTACTATGCTATGCTCCTTACATGCATTGTCTCGCTTATCTTCCTAACAGCCCTATGAAGTAGATCTCATTATTTTTCCCATTTTAGAGATGAGCAAGCTGTAGTAACATGCTACAGATCATACAGCTCATAAGGTAAAGAATAGTACTTAAAAACCAGGTCTTTCTGGCCCCTAAGGCTGGTTTATGATCACTGGAACAATACTTTTTAATATGGTGATGGGCACTAGAACACTCCCAGAGGGACACACAGTATAAGGGGTTTCTCAAACTGATTTGATTAGGGAGCCCCTCTGAATCAATCAGCACTTGAGACTAGCTTTCCATGGCACATATTTTGAGAAATATTGTGGGGCAAAGGAGTCAGAGATACCCCATGGTGGACAGAAGATGGACAGCTCAGAAGGAAAAGTTATTCTAGAAAGAGCATTTATTAAAATTGTGCTCAAAGAATACTAATAGGAACATGTAAATCAAAGCTAAGTTTAATAGACATCATTTCATTAACTCCTGATTCATAAGTTCCAGCTGATGGCTCACTGCTCTCAAATAATATTTGCTGTGACATTCCAATTCCAACATATTCACTTAGCTAGTTCTTTAGCATTTGTTGTAGGATTTGACTAGTAATTCAACTGGTTATGTTACTAATTTTGATACGGTATATTCACATTGGGACTATAAGTTTCAACTTGCTGTGTATCTTAACATGTTTGCAATTTGCATTTTTGGACAAGATAATTCTTGGTTGTACAGGACTAGCCCAAATTCTGCAGGACATCTAACATCCCTGGCCCCTACCCACTAAATACCAGTAGTGCCCCCAAGTCATTGTGACAAGAAAAATATCCCCACAGTTTCAACCCCCCGCCCCCCAGGGGCGTGGTATCACCTCCACCTGAGAACCACAGGTTTACAGCAAACCAGGAAGTTCAGTAAAATATCCATTGAAAGAGAAACACCTAGCCTGATCCTGCATTCAGTATTCCAGCAGACTTCAAGATTTAACATGCTATCTCCAATCCTGCATGTTCAATGCCCCATTACATTTCTCTCTATTCTGTTAATAACACAAGCAGATTCAACACAAACTGCCAGAATACCCCGAGCCCTTTGACAATAACAGCCATAAAGCTGGGCAGAAGTCAAACCCAGGATTGCATGGGGTATTGGCTTATATCTGAGGCAGTAGTCACAAAACAAGAGGTATATCTGAAGAGTCTATCATTTTGTCAAATATGAACTTTAAAGACAAGAAGGATGCTGTTCTTTTTCTTTTTAAAATTATTTATTATCAAAAAGCTTGCTCCCTCTTACTGCTGAGTCAGTTCAGCAATGCAGCGCCATCCTTTTTAGGATTATTAGGCCCCAAATAATTTAGACCAAACAAACAAAAAACCCAACTGGACTGGAGGTTCAGTAACACATCTACTGACATGTCAGTATGCATTCAGGAACGCTGGTTTCATTTCTTGATTGGAATGCCAATCACCATAAAATCTTCTGCTAGAGTAACTTCTTGGAGATGTAACACTGATTCAGCTTGCTTTTTCAGTTCTGCAACACCATCTGTTTCTCCTTCTCTGGCCAAGGCAACTGGTTTGTACCTCTGACTGAAGTGAGTCAGAACCAGCCTCTTTGCTTGGCACAACTTTGCAAACGCTGCAGCCATCTGTGGTGTGCTGTGGCCGTGTTCCTTTGCTTTGTCCATCTGGGTATCATCCAGGGTTGCTTCGTGGATCAACAGGTCTGCTTCAGAGCACAGCTTCACTCCTCCATCACCCACAACCCCAGAACAGTCACCTAAGATGCAGATTTTCCTTCCAATGATAGGCTTTTTTAAAACATCTTGGGGAGAAATTGTAACCCCGTTTTCCAGAACAATAGAAATTCCATTTTTCAGCTTCCCATAGGCGGGACCGGGTGGAACACCTAATGATGAAGGCAGATAATATTATATCATAGGAATGGAATTTATGGCTTCTTAAAGGAGTCTCTTTTAACAGCACAGCAAATAGCAAATGGAAAAAGCATCCATTTCTTTTCATAATTGTAATGTTTTTACTACTTGTGGAAAACTGGAATATTTATATGTTTTTTAAAATTTAGTCTTACCTATTGATACTAGAATGCCCTAGTGCTTAAAGCACTTCCAATGTATATGTGTCAGATGAGTTTTAAGCTCCTAAGTCCCACTAAGACTTCATTACAGTCGAAATGACAGCCTCAGCTTTGCATGGGAATAACAGTTTTTCAGAGCACTTTCTTTAGTAAGTTCATCTTCGGGTAAAATTGAAGAGTCCATTTAAATAACAACATAATCAATGCCTAGTCAAGACAGGTACCTACAAACTGACTCACTTAATAAAAACATTGTAGAAGGAGACTGTTTGGATCACAGGATTAAGGAGAATTTGAATCACAGATAATCCATTTTCTTGGTGGATAGAGGCAGTTCCATATTTACCAAACTGGGCTTAAATCTCATACTAATCTAGAATAACACCTAGTCATCATGCTAGGCAAAACTTATATACAAATATAATGTGATCACCAATTCCAATATAGATCACGTTTGAAGTTTCCAAACAGAACAATATTTCTCCAGGCTTTTAGGCAATAAAACTACCTTTGACCAAAAGTCACTTTTCCTCAGTATCTAGCATTTTGTTTTACCTGGGGAGGAAGGAAGAGATTGTGCAAATATAGAAACAAACATACAAAAACACCACCATGCTTTTTACAGTCTCTGCCATGACCATGCCAAGAAAGGCAGTGATGCTGGAGGAATAATAGGCTTGGATACTGCTTCACAAGAAGTATATGAGGACCATCTCATGCAGGATGGTCTAGCATGGAGGAGTGTGAAGGTTTACAAGGGCCCCAACCTGTTTTTGTGTGCTCTGCCTCCAACTGTGATGAACCTAGGTATGTAAAATTGGTTGAGTTTTGTATTCTAAACCCCAGGTTGACTTAATCAAGGTTGAAAGAGTGGGCAAAGTTGACAAAGAAGGTAGCTAGCGGAAGCTGCATGATTAAGAACTGTGGCAAAAAAAAATCTCAGGCCAAAGATGTCATCAAAAACATCTTCCAAATGCAAGACATGAGCAAATAAATGCCCAGACCTAAAACAACCACCACCACCACCACCACCCAAACCACTCCTGCCAACCAAGACAATATAAGCTGAAGAGAAGGCAAACTACGAATTTGGATCAGAGGAGTTGATAAGAGAAAGATTTAAATATATACTTGGTTTTTGGTCTGAATAGCATCTTTCTGTCTCCAAGCCTTTCCAGTAACAAATAAGCAAACTTTGGGCAAGGAAATAGAAAACATATCAGTTTTAGGCCTGGGAGACAGGAAAGGAAGAATACTATGACACTTTTAATAGCTCCAGTTAACACTAGCTTGAATGATGAGAAGGTGGAAAAAAAAAAAAACTTACCGAGGTCTTTTAGTTTCTGTGCATTGAGTTTACCTGGGCGTTTCTTCTCCATGACTGAAAATCCAAAGGAGGGAATTCGGTGAAAAAGGCGAAATGCTTTTACAACAAACTGTTCATCATCAACCAAAAGGTATGCGTTTTCTTCTGAGTCTAACAGGATAGTTCGCCCTTGTCCCTCTTTGGGACAGCTGTCTGCTCTTTTCACATGTGTGAGTTCTTTCTGTTCTTCTGTAGGACACTGATCTGCTGTGGGCACCAGCTCATGGACCACATATGGGAAGACCAGCTCTGTGTGAGAGAGTTCCATGGTTCGCCAGACAAAGTCCCGAAGGCCTAGAGGGCCATAGATTTCAATAGGCTGTTTGGTGACCACGGAGCCACTCTGCAGACTGATTGTGCAGAGGAGGCCAGGAAGGCCAAAGAAATGGTCTCCATGAAGATGTGTAATGAAGATCTTGGTAATTCTCCCTTTTGATTAAGAAAGAGAAATAACACTGGAAATTTTTCAGAAATGAAAACTCATGCAAAGCTACTTGAAACAAGTATAACAACTTATATAAGAAGCAATAAAATGAATTTAGAAATTCTACTTACCACTATGAACTTGTATGTTTGCATTTTACTACATGATTTCAGAAACAAGAAAGACTATTTCACTGGATGGTTTTAATAAGATATTACTTTTCTTCATAAAACATCGTTAAATTTCACAGTTTTAAGAGTATTTGCCTACATATCCTCTCATCTAAAAATAAGTGAAGTATACAAGTGTACCAAAATAATTTACATAACTAGATAGGCCTCAAGTGTCAAAAGCACTAGCAGTCACACTGCCCCCTACTGCTCCCTCTGAGAATGGCAAACACGTACTTTCAGCAAAACAAATGTTCCACTGGCTCCAAATGACTGGACCAGTGCCTGAACCCAAAACTGCCTTTTAAGGACTCTGTACACTGGACAGAGATTAACCAGCCAAGTCAGATTCTGCTTGTTTGGAAGAGGTTGGAAGGAGAGGACAAGAAAGGAGCGGGGTGAGGGAGGAAGAGGGAAGGGAGGTGAGAAAAAACAGGGAGGTGGGAGAGGAATGGGCTGAGCAAGGGAGAGGAGAGGAGGTGGGCAGTAGACACCAGAATGCAGATCAGAGATCGGATCCACTCTGGTATTATGCAAGGGTACTTGGGCCCATCTCTTCCTTTCAGTCTGAACTAACACAACAGCTTTTTCAGTATATATTAGCTTAGGTTGTAACTTGATTTAGCCAGTGGTGAACTGAATTTACTGCTGGTATGTGGCAGGATGCCACATCAGCATTTTTCTGAGATGCACCACAAGGCATTTTAAAAGTAACAATCACAAGGAACACATTCTCAGTATAACAGAGGCTTCCACGGCTAGCTCATGGCCCATGCATTTAAAACATTTGAGACCAAAGAACAGGAACCGTTTATTTTTAATGTGATTTCCAATGATATCAAGGCAAAAGTGTTCTCCAAGCAAGTCTTCCCAGCATTATCACCAAGGCTAGGCCCCAAGGGCACAGAACACTAGATTGGACAGAGGCCAGGTTTGGACCTTGAGAATCCCCAGGAGGCACTCTGAAAGTTTCTTCACTCTCCTCTTTCTTTTCTCTCTATAGTTCTTATTTTTGCTATTATTTGACTTTTAGAACCCTTCCATTTTCCCCTTCCCCTTCCCCCGTCCAGGCTGCCAAGCACCTTCAGTGTGTCCTGAGGCCTCTGAAGACCCACATGCTAGAGTGGCTGCTGAGTCTCACTGGCACGCTGACCTCAAAACTGCCAATGTCAGACTTTTTAGGCCTTCTCCCTATCTCTCCAAAACAAAGCCAGAACTGAACACCAAAACAACCTGTGAACCCAAACCAAGTGAGACAAATTAAATAAGTGAAAATTTGCTTCCCACAGTTATCACAGTTTCAAAGAAGACAAACATTTCATTTTTCAAGAAACTTGATTTCACAGGGAGAAGGAATGTCAACCACAGTTATCAAAGGTATGAGGAAGTTATCAGATGAAGAGAGAAAAATGCATGAATTCTTTTTCACTTGAGAACAAGAAAGCTGTGGTGGGGGGGGCGGGGAGGAAATACATCATCCCATAGAGGAGTAGAATACTAAGTATCCGCTAAAAATGATGATGCAGTTATATTTACTGCCATGGGAAAACGCCTGCAATATATTGTTCATATATATTGTTCAGTGGAAAAAAATGCAGGTTACATCATGTATATAGTCTGAACCCATTTATGCAAAATATGCAAAACTATGCACTCACCACACACATACACGTACACATGTACAGATACACCCATGTTGTTGTTGTTAGGTGCTGTCCAGTCAGTTCCAACTCTTAGTGACCCTATATACAACAGAACGAAACACTGCCCAGTCCTGTGCCATCTTCACTACCATTGCTATGTTTGAGCCCACTGCTATAGCCACTGTGTCAATCTGTCTCTGGGGGTTTTCCTCTTTTTTGCTGACCCTCTTCTTTACCAAGCATAATGTCCTTCTCCAGGGACTGGTCCCTTCTGTTAACATGTCCAAAGTATGTGAGACAAAGTCTCACCAGCCTCACTTCCAAGGAGCACTCTGGCTGTACTTCTTCCAAGACAGATTTGTTTGCTCTTCAGGCAGTCCATGGTATATTCAGTATTCTTCGCCGACACCATTAATTCAAAGGCATCAATTCTTCTTTGGTTTTTCTTATTAATTGTCCAGCTTTCACATGCATATGAGGCGATTGAAAATACCATGGCTTGGGTCAGGCGCACCTTAGTCCTCAAAGTGACATCTTTGCTTTTGAACACTTTAAAGAGGTCTTTTGCAGCAGATTTGCCCCAGGCAATATGTTGTTTGATTTCTTGACTGCTGCTTCCATGAGCGCTGATTGTGGATCCAAGTAAAATGAAATCCTTGAGAACTTCAATCCTTTCTCCATTTATCATGACGTTCCTTATTGGTCCAGTTGTGAGGATTTTTGTTTTCTTTATGTTGAGGTGTAATCCATACTGAAGGCTGTGATCTTTGATCTTTATC